ACAAAAACAAAACTTAGTTCAAATAGTTAAGTTAAAAATACGAAAGCGAAGTTAAATAGTTGAGATTTGGATAAACCGCAACCCCTTTTGTGGATCACAGATAAACAATCCAAGGGACGTCCTATAGAATAACAGCATCACCCGCCAGGACGTTTGCCTTCGTAGTCCACATCCTGTCAAAGATCACTGAACTACGTACAATCAAGGTGCTTCTTTCTAATGTGCATTTGAAAATGGTAGCGCAGGCTACTGGAATGGGCAAATTTCTTGTTGCACAAAGTACACTCAAAAGGCTTCTCTCCAGTGTGCGTTCGGAGATGATCACGCAGACTGCCACTCATTGAAAATTTCTTGTTGCACACAGTACACTCAAAAGGCTTCTCCCCAGTGTGCGTTCGCATATGTCTTTGCAGACTGCTACTCCCTGAATATTTCTTGTTGCACACAGTACACTCAAAAGACTTTACTCCAGAGTGCGTTCGAAGATGTACAGAAAGATGAGAACTTTGAGAAAATGTCTTGCAGCACACAGCACACTCAAATGGCTTCTCTCCAGTGTGCGTTCGTAGATGCGTGCGAAGGTTGCCACTCTCCGAGAATTTCTTGTTGCACAGAGTACACTCAAAGGGCTTCTCTCCAGTGTGTGTTCGGAGATGGTTATGCAGATGGGAAGTCTGCGCAAATTTCTTGTTGCACACAGTACACTCAAAAGGCTTTACTCCAGTGTGCGTTCGGAGATGTTTACTAAGATGAGACCTTGACGATAATTTCTTGTTGCACACAGTACATTCATAAGGTTTTTCTCCAGTGTGCGTTCGGATATGTTTACGCAGATTGGCACTTTTTGAATATTTCTTGTTGCACACAGTACACTTAAAAGGCTTTTCGCCAGTGTGCCTTCGAAGATGTTTAGAAAGATCAAAACTTTGAGAAAATGTCTTGCTGCACACAATACACTCAAAAGGTTTCTCTCCAGTGTGTTTCCTCATGTGGATGTCAAGTTGGCTCCGATAACTAACTTCGTAATGGCAAACGTCGCACCGGAAGGGCATGGTGATGGTGGAGAATGCAGACGGTGTTTCTGCAAAAGAAAGAAAAGGTATTGGTTGGATGTGTATGATACTACAGAGTAACATTTTTGGGTGGATATGCATATTAGGGGTAGAGACCAGAGACTACTCCTAAAAACGCTGCCCGCTTTTATCAGCACCTCTACCCCGTCCGGCCCTCCGCGACGCGAAGATGAGTCACCACCACCACCACTACCTCCCACCCGCCGCCGCCGCTGGACCGCGCTTTTGAACGGGCGTATCGATGGCACTCCATCGACATGTGATTGATCGCCCAGATTGCAGCGCCTTTAATCATTATTATTATTTCGGGACGCCTGTTATGCCGAATGTGATCAGATAGCATTTATATAGTGCAACGCCACGCCACGCCACGCTCGCGCCTCTCTTTTTCGTGCCCGGCAGATTGGCATCGCTCTTTTGCCGGCCATCCGGACACGCGCCCCTATCGGAGTGTGAAAAGGAGGGGGATATGAGATGAGATGAGATGAGAGAGAGAGAGAGAGAGAGAGGGAGAGAGAGAGACAGGGGGGGATAGGAAGGGGTTGCGGAGCACAGCAGTATCGTGGCCCCCGTGCAACAACGCCATATCTACTCGCGCACTTATCTCGTGATAAGCAATATGTAACGAGGCAGCCACCACCACGCCTTCGTCAAACACAAACTGTACACACCGCGCCTCAAGCCTCCGTTTTGGAACAGTTTTGCCGGCGCCGACCGCAGCCAACACGGCGCCGCATGGCAAGGTGCCCACTCCAATGGGCCGCACCGCCGCCACCGCCCTCTCGGTGCACTACCATATCGAATGCCGGACAACAACAACAAAAAAACAGTACTCGGTGTGTAGGAAAGAAACACCCCTCTTTCTTTAGTCACAGCCGCAGCCAGAGTAGAGAAAGAGGTACATATCGCATTTGAGACAAGCAGCAGCAGAGAATTATTGCGAACGGCATATAATATGCGGTACGACGGCCCTAGTAGTGCTGTCTTCGGGAGGTTGCGTCGGCCTCGACCCCAAAAGGCCGGGCGCGACGCCGATCTGTATATATGGTCCATTTCTATTAACGTCTGTCATAACAGAAGGCGGAGCCGCGCGGCGGCGGCGGAGCCCCGCCAAGGACTGGGCGCCCTTTGGCCACGGCTAGGGCGATCAGCTTATCACGCACGCCTGCACACACACACACACACACACACACACACACACACACACACAGAGCCGGCCTTGGCGGGCGCGCGAGGTCGCGGGTTGGCCATTGTGTGTTTGGGGCATTGTGGTGCCGCGATGGTCATTACCGGAGCAGGTGCACAAGGGCGAGGACAGGAGGAGCGAAAACAAAATCACATGAAAAAAAAATAATCAAACTGCTGCAAAAAAGTGGTGCGCGCGGCGGGCGTGGGGGAGGAGAAGTCAGAGAGGCATTACGTATCGAGCGACCGTGTCGACAACTCGTTAATACGGGACCGGGGGGATTCTCAGCCGCTACCTGGTACAGACTTGGCGGGCTGGCGGGGCTCTGCTGCCGACACTGCCACCCGCGCGTCCCGCAAACGACGAGTGTGCTGTCCGACATATGATGAGCGATTTTCAAATCGAAAGTGTGCAACAACACGACATTGTCGGACACGGCGCGGCGGTCCTGCGCAGCTCGGGGGTCCCTGCGGAGGTTATCCGGCCTGTCATCGGCCGGCCAGCGTGTCTGGGCCAGGCCGGGCCGCTGGGCGCGCTTCGATCATGCCTCATCATCACCTGCGACGCGCCCGGAGCGACCTCTCTCTCTCTCTCTCTCTCTCTCTCTCTCTCCCACACCCAAGCACGGTGGGCGAGGACTGACCATTAATTCACCATAACCCCTTCTTGACGGCCTGCAACGCGCAAGCGCGCATTTCACTTTTGTTCGCCGTAAGAGGTTAATGGTGGGAGGAGAAGCTCTTCCCCCTTGATAATTTTTTTTTCGTCTCTTATTTTTTACTTTGCGAGTGTCTGATGACCTGCTTTTCGAACCGACCGGGCCGGCACCGGCGGGGCGACGACCAGCGGAGGCCCCCGTCCGTCGTCCGAGGGTCACACACAAGTCTCGGGCACTGCTCTGCACAAAAGTACAAACCGCCGACGCACAGCAGCAGCCCACTGTAGCACACACACACGCACGCACACTACTCCAATACGCAGCAGTAAATGATACGACGAAATGTCAGAGCGCGCCGCGCCGACGCACCCCGTCGTCGTCCCGTCCAAGAGCAGAACCGCCCTCGCGAGGCGTTAATTAGCGCCGATTGTGGCGACGGCCTTGCCCAGCCCAGAGGCGCCGGCCGCGCCGCGCACCCCCCGCGACCACGCCCCGCCCCGCCCCGCCCCGCCCCGCCCCGCCGCGCCCAGCCCCGCCGCCATGACTTGCCAACGTTTGCGGAACTCTTTAACAATGAAGTCCACAGACTGGCGGCGGGCGCGGGGCTGACACCGCGCGCGGCGCCGACCAAGAGCGCGCGGCATTCTTCCTCATCTCTTTCTCTGTGCCTCTTTATTTCTATCTCTCTCTGTCTCTCTCTTGTGTGCAGGGGATGCTTATTGGGTGCTCCTACCCTGGCGCACGTACGAGTAGACTTCAAGTTTTTCACAATCGTGTGTGTCACATGACATGACAGGGGTGCAAATGCAAACCAATCCGAAACTCGTCTAAATTCATCTTTCCGTCATTCAACTTTTTTACTACAGCAGCCGCTATAGTTTTTACCATATACTCAAACATTTACTTAGTGTCGATCGATCGCTGTAGTTAGAAGTGATGGAAGTATGGGAAAAAGATGAGTTGAGGTGGAGAGTATCGGATAAGTCAAGCGAGGGAAAGTACGTGATAGGGCAGACAAAGAGGGAAGCTACGGAAGGGTAGAGTAGAAGGGAAGGACCTTCTCCATGTTGAGTATAAATCTGAGAGAGAGAGAGAGAGGTAGAGGGGGGGGAGGAGTAAAAGGGGGAGGGAGAGAGATGGCGCACGACACTGTCATGCGAGGCGAGGGAGATAGCTCGCCTGGCGCGCGCCGTCATACTTGGCCGACACCACGTCA